AACTTGGTATCTTGAATTCCTACCACAAATGGTATGATTCAATGAGTATTCATTGTTTGCCGATGTCTTTATTTGGATACAGGATAGGAACACGACTGCATAAGGTTATCCTAATTCCAAATTTGATTAGGGTGAATATTATAATCATTGAATTTTCTTTGAGATTAGTGCCATACACATCTAATCAATCAAACTCATAGCTCATTCATCTCAAAGCAAATCAAACGAGTATGAAACACATTTTTGATAAAATTTTCTTATGAATACAAATTTTGATCAATGCTTTGTTTCTTCACAATATGGATGATTTAAACATTTTTGTTTTTGTTTAATTTCAGATTGAAAGTCAGGTTGATATGCTTAAGTTGGAAATTGAAGAACATGGTTTGAAATGCTCATCTGAAATGGAGAACATAGAAGAGGAGTCAGAAGCAAAAGAAGAACAACTGAAACTAATGGACAGGGAGGCACAGGAGCTATTAATGGTTGTTTTTACCTTTTCCTAATTTCTATTGGGGGATTTACATACATACCACACAATTCTTATGTATTTACGTGCATGCCGCTCAAATCTATAACATCACGTCGAAAATGATTACAATTATAACACGAAGATGTCAGAAGTGTAAATTTTGGGTGTTAAATAAATAAAACATGTAAACTTTCTATCTCGTTTAGTTTTTGAATTAGGAAATGATTTTATGTTTGTAGGAGTCTGAAGAAAAGCTGAAGAGGACTTTGATAGAGTGCACGGAGGAGACTCAATTATGTGCTCAGGAGCTCTATTCGTTGATCGATAGTGTCTCTCAGTATAAGGAGTTTATGGGATCTACAGTTGTTGGGATCGGAGAGGAGATCAGAGAGATAGTTGAAGGAGTGAAACAGGCCTTTGAGGCTTCTTCCAGGTAAGCTCTAATGTTGTGGAGGCCAAATTTTTTTTTTTTTTTTTTTTTTTTTTTTTTTTTTTTTTTTTTTTTTTGGTGTTTTCTTATTATCTTCATCATTTTAATAGGATTTGCAATAGTTAGTGTTGGCGAATTACTTCTGTTTGATGTGATGACAGCTTTGAATTTGGTTGTGTTTAGTGGAAAAATTTGCGTACAATAGACGTATGCAGCGCTGCGTATGATTTTGAGGTTAAATCGAGGGTATAAGGGGGTTATATTCGTGGTATGACCCATTGTAACCTTCATGTAACATTCTGTAACTTACTTATAACCCACTAATAAATTCTTAATATATGATAACAAAAGCGCGAAACTTATTTGTAGGTTGCAAGTAGGTTACACTAGGTTACATGGAGGTGCATGTATAACCCCTTTATACCCTCCGTATAACCTCGAAATCGTACGTAGCGCTGTGTACGTCTATCGTACACAAATTTTTTCTGTGTTTAGGAGTCTGTTTGGATCAAATTTTGTAACATTTTTGCTGAGGGAGTCAGATTGTGATCCAAGCAATTAATTGTCTGTATAAATAGCTGAAATTATCATGGGAACATGCATATATTTTTAAAATTTGTTGCAAATATTATGAGTTTTTTTTTGTCTTTTATAAAAATTCAATATTATATTTTTATAGATTTGGTTATGAAAAGCTTCTCTTTGTGCAAATTAATGAAAATTTATTAAGAAGTTATAATTAAATTGGAATATTAAAATTCTCTGAATAATAGAGATTTGAAAAAGTTGGTACAGAGAACTTCAGATCCACGGCACATGATAATTAAGAAATATGTTGAAAAATACATGTCTATAGGAACTTAAATAATTTTTTATTAGAGATTAAATTTTAATGTGTCTTCTTGAGTGGGATTTGTTAGTTCTGGTGGAATAGGATGCACGGGAAAAGTTTTCTGTTTGGACTCCGGGCGTGACAATACGTGCAGAATATGACGCCACGTGTTATATCGCGAAGGTAACTATGGATTATCTGAGTGAAAGGGGTTGATAAGGGGTTATTGTTGGGGTTCATGCAGAGAGTTATTGAAGTGGAACCACGAAGGTTATTGGGGAGCTATTGCATGAAGTTATTGAAGTGTAACCGCAGAGGTTATTAGAGGGTGACTACAGGGGTTATTATAGGGGTTATTGGAGTGGAACCGCGAAGGTTATTGGAGGTTATCGAGGGGTTATTGCTACATTATTGAAGTTAATACCTCAATAACCCCCAATAACTCCCATTAATTTCTCAATAATCCTCTAAATAACATCTGCAGTTCTATTCTAATAGCATCCACGGTTCCACTTTAATAACTTCGTTGTTCCACTGTAGTATTTTTTTAGATGAACCCGATATAACACACATGACAGTATATTACTGGGAGTTCGCATGTAGATTTATGTTCCGGACAGAAATTTTTCCATGGAATATCTCCTCTTAGTTAATTTTGACGATTCATTGTGGCAATGTATTATCTTAGTCTCAATAAAATTATAAGATTATTTTATCTTAGATTTTGTCATTTTATAGATTTTGCCAGGTTATATGTTTATCATTTGATCTTGAAATGACTAACTTTGCCTCGTGTCATTTGTATTGCACTTTCAAAATCACTAGAAATAGATTCTATAGTATTTTTCGCTATTTAAATTTGTCATATCATTTTCTACTTGTGACCGTATTTAAATTTTTGAGTTTGTTGGGACCATATATGGCTAAATATTTTGGTAGTTTAAGATGAAATGTCCGTTGAATAATTGTTAGTTAAAACTACCAAAAAGTTATGGCAGATTTATGTCAAAAAAAAAAATAAAAATAAATGAATAAATAAAATTCACGACATTGTACATGCTCCTTGGATATGTAACACTGGCGTTTATTTCATTACTAAGCCAAATGGTTTTTTTGAAAATTCTTAGTTGATTAAAAATTAATTAATTATCTAAAGATAATTTTATATGAGGTATTTATACTTTGCCTTCAATTTATCTCTTCATAAAATATCATGCATAATGTTTTATTTTTATTTTGGGCCATCAGGGTCCTCTCATTAGTACTAACTAGGGCTGTCAAAAAAACTCGTTGTTTTCGTGTTCGGTTCGTCAATGAGTTCGTGTTTGATTCGTTCGATAAGTAATCGAGACGAATGTGAGCAATTTTTTTTTTTTTTGGTTTGTTAAACGAACTAAATATGAATAGTAATGTGTTCGTTCGTTTTTGAATCGTTATTGTTCGAAATATAAAATAATT